TTTCCTCTTGTGACAGAGAATTTTGGTCCACTTCACTTTCATGTATGACTCGACGAGACTGACTCTCCTAAACGGTATATTTTTTTTTGTTACTGAACAATTTAGAGTGTAGCACCGATGGAAGATCCCGAGACATCTATCAACAAAAATGTTTATGGGAACCTCGAGACATTTCCTCCCCCTGTTGTCCGGCTGAGCCTTTGAGATCTACCAACAACTTCAACTCAATATCTTTCTGTCTTTCTTTGCATCGAGCTTGTTCATTTGACATCCTATCACCACCAGACTTCACACGTTCCGACGTTCCACACAGATAAGCGACGCGTCCACCCGGCGTACATTCACTTTAAAAGAAGCCTACTACGGGATTAGCGGTATCTTTCGTACCTTTCCGTGCTGACAATCATACACGCTATCAGAGTGCACGGCAGCCGGCACGGAAAGCCTTTCGGACAGCTTTTCACAGCAGGGCCATGATAATAGTTCAAGAAATCATTAACCATTTTGAAGGGATAAAAAGTTGAAAGATGAGCAGTGATTGCGTACGTGCAACGGAGCGGTTGGCACGACAAAATGCTGGTCATCCGGCTTCGAGTTTGATAAATGTCAAGGGACTCAAAAAGAGATCCACCAATTATCGCCATTAAGAACAGCTGCTGGTTTCTTATCTTACGTGAAATCTATGAAAAAGACGTAGCGCTTGGTAAGACTCGTAAATAAAAAAGTGTCATGAATTTAGCACGACCATTATGTGATTCATCATTGCAGTACACCTCAAGGTTATGACTTGGGGTACGGTACTAGAAGCGAACGCTGTCGTCAGAAATCGAGGATGCAGCAGTGCAGATCGACATGTTCGCATGGACTAATGGATTCGATCCAATCTACAGTGAAGGAGCTGCCGTTGATATTGCGCCGCTTAGCGCCACAGAGGTGTCGATATCGCAGTAAGTGGAATGACGCTTAATTAGACAAAACCTTCCAGAAACGAACCAACTAAAACCAACATCGTTTAACTGTGGCTTCTAACTCTAAGGGAGCTCCAACACCTCACACGACTTCTCTAAATAAAACAAAAAATCTCATACAGGAAATCCAGGTGTGGGTAGAGAGATATGTGTAGCCGTGACGCGGCGTTGCAAGTGGCACCCCACTGCATGACTACTGATGCCGTTTGAACGCGCTCACTCCTTGGTTGCCGACCATTAGAAGGTGCCGTGGATCACCAAAAATTTGCTGAAAACTTGTATATACAGGGCTAACATTTATCATGCTGATTATGAATATGACACACTCATTCTTGGCGATGGCGCTAATGGAGCACCCTACGATTACCTGCGCTCTGCTAAGGCTGAGCCCAGAAGATAACCGTAGTGTCCTTCATTAGCGCCAGCACCAAGAATGAATGTCATATTCGTAATCAGGATGTCACTTGAGTCTCGTCTTCAGCGGATCTGAGTGCGATCCAGGCCACCGCCTGCAGCGAAAAGTGAGCGCGTCCACCTGCACGACACTCGGGACAGGACCCAGCTCATTGACGCCCAAGTGCTGCTTTATGTCGAGTCGCATTGTCAGGAAAAATTACCCAGTTTTTTTTGGTGTCCGACGGACGCATGCAAACCGATAACAGGCTCGCTCGTGTTATTACTACCCGAAGAGACAAACGACCATGAATGTTTGAACCAAACTTTGAACTGACCTTTCCACAACTTTTCGCAGAATGCATTGAAAAGGATTACTATATAAAACCTCATTATACAGAAGAGCACTTTTGGTAGGCACCATTACTAATCATGAGAATACTGTTTCAGGTCCTGTTCTGAAGTGGCAGAAAAACAAGCGACGGTGGATTTCTTTGGTGCGTGGCCAAGACTGTTCCGAAGTTCCGGTGACCTTCTGGCTCAGATGAACTGTACTTCTTCCGGACAAGCTTTATGAGGTATGCAGTCGTTACAATAGACACACTTTACTCGATAGAGTGGTCGTAATTGTGTGCTTAGTGAACCGTGTAGCAGTGGTCTTGGAGAAGGAGTTTCTGCCCAACGAAATGATTCGCTGTTCGCATTTGAAACCTGGAGTCTAATCAAGTCAACTAATGAAAATGAAGCTTGACGAAGTGGAGTCATACTAGGAAGGAGGAGGTCAGTACCGGCGTCACGGGCGACACAGAGTCCGCAATTCCGACCGGGCTCTCGACCGTGTGGGATGGCAGGGTGTTATAGTCCTTGTTTGGTGCGGACGAAGGGGGCGTGTCAAGTCTATCATTCGTCGCAACCCGCTTCATCAGCCGGCAGAGAATGGGTTTGGCGCCGTGGCACACACGTACCATCTGACACCCTTCATCTGCAGCGAGTTAGAGTATATGTAGTTCAGGGATGTTGAATGGATGCAAAGCATTCCAAATTACCTTCTTTTCTCAGCAAGTTTCATGTAATTCTACGCGCGTTTGGTGCAGATAGAATGAGAAGCGAGATATTTCTTATTTCAGGTTGATTTCAATGTATTTGGCGATGTTTTGATTGCTGGGTTCAAGATGATAGATGATCAGACTTATTGGATATCAATTAATGCCACAAATCTCTCACCGTACACATGGATCTCAGTATCGAAACCGTTCACCGGGTGGTTCTCAGACAATGGTTTCACTATGACGGTTCCTAACCGAGAAGTTAAACTTCACCTTCGACACCCACTCAAACTATCTAAAGATGATTTTCATGTCTGCAATTTGAAGAATTGCGGTGTGTTGTAAGTTATTTTAAAAGCTCGAAGTCCTAGTTTCGACTATTTCTCAGCCAGAAGCCGAGACGCTAGTGAAACTAAGTCGTTCCTTGTATTTGTACAGTTTTTTAATGTTTGTAAATTGTGGAGTTTCGTATTAATTAATTGGGAATTTTTACAGAAGAATCTATTTTTGCTCACTATTCACTATTCATTCACTAATTATGTTGTGTACCTTCAATGAAGTTCTCCTCTCCACAGCTTCAGGGTGCTAACGCAGTTGCAGGGGGCCGCCCTTTGAGAATGGGCCGATGGTGGTGATCCTCTCGCCAGGCTCAGACATAAAACGACGTGAACGACCAGAGTCGCTTGGACTGCCGTCGCTGCGTGGCCCCTTCCAACGACGTTAGCGCTACCTTTCGATGCTTGGGATTCAGGGAAATAGTGCACGAAATTTTCTCGCAATGATTTGTTTATCTCAAACCTCAAGGTTGTTAATAAATGCAAGAAAAAGGCAGGTTGTTAATAAATATTTATCAAATATCACATTTTTGTCAGGTACACAGTGCGTTACTCGACTCGCAAGGTTTATTACCTGGTGTGAGAAACAACTTCGGCTGTGCTCCTGCGCAAATACACACGCGAAACGCATCGATAGATGCCGACAGGGCTGGTGACGGCGAAAGTGGCAAACCTCGTGATGTGTCCAACATCAGTCGACCCCGTAGGCGTATAGAACCGTCACGCTGAAACCAGATTCCATGTAGGTAGAAAGCAAGGTAGTCATCACTCGATGACGAAGTGCACACTCAGCTCCGTGGATTTGGCCCTTACCATTTGCGAGGTGAATGGGCCTGCAGCTCAGGCAACGTGTCACTTTCTCCGGTCAAAAGTGCACGAGAACGAGCTTTCAGGATAGCAATACCCGGGTACCGTCTTCATGCTCCGCTCACGCTGCCGCACTGCCAGCCACGCGCATACCAGTAGCCACAGGCGCTTCTTGTCTGCGTCCCCTCACTTCCGGTTGTTCTCTACCTCTGAGTATTTGTTTCCCTGCACGTCGGTATCGATGCAGGTGCTACACTTTGAGGGTAGCGCGAGAGGAGTATGGAGAGGTCACCCGGTTATCGCTACCCTTTAACCTGTTCCCGTGCACTTTTAATCAAAGAAGGTGGCACGCTACTGCAGTTGCGGATCAGTTTTCCAGTTTCCCTGCACATGCCAA